TTTATGAATTTCATTTACCTTGTCTTACGTCACTTGTTCGATACTTTTATGTTAGCTTCCTTGAAGAAAAACTGAGGTGGACTGCCGGGATACGAAACCCGGGTTTTTAAGCGTGATAGTCAGATACGCTACGCACTGCTCCGCCGTCCTCTAATTTCAATATACTTATATTCGTGGATTAAACTCACGAAGTTAACGAGTCGCCAGAGACCTAACCCTCCGTTGGAATATTTACCGAAACCTCTGGTCCCGCAGAGGGTGAGATTTATTTTTTCGTCGCCGTCCTAACGATCTTTTTCGAAAATCGGTCCGCCTGAAAGAAGTCTCCTGCCAGATTGTTTTCTTCGAAGGTTCTTAACGACTCCCAGAGGTGTCCCCTTCCCGCCCTGAAAAAATACACCGACCCTACATGGGAAAATCGATAAATCCCGGGGACAATTAGTATCTAAGGGTTGAAAACTCTCCCACGAGTCGTTGGGGGCGAGCTTTCTTTACGAGGTCACCTGTTCGGAGAAAGCTGCAGGAAGGAACATGTATTCTGTATCTGGTTTTCATCCCTTTTCCCGCACGGAGGGTTCACTGGAAAAAAGTTTCTCTCGGCGCCACGGGCAGGGAAAAGGATCCAGGTCGAACGGAAAGAGTCTGATTTCAGCATTCGCGGGCCTTTGTTGGTTCCACCAGTGAAAATCTGGCCGCCAGATTGCCTCGCGCAACACGATGTTTTCGTTTCCAACCTTGCTTTCGGTGCCGATGTATTTATTTTATTTAACGGCTACGCCGGCGTGCAAAAAAATACAGGTTTCATAGAAAAGGGTCGAAAGAGTATCTTTTATTATTGCCTGAAACATCTGCGACGAGATAAGTAAAGTAATGAGATTGCATTGAAAAATTGCATCATTTGCAAATTGCAAAATTTCTGAAGAATTCTTCGCTTTTATTACAAAACTTTTTGATCTCCTTCAAACGGTCCTAGAAATATATCAACTTTCAACCTTTGTCGACGAAAATTGTTAGAAAACGATAGAAATTATTCGGTTGATTAGTATATTTGAGATTTCTTTAATAAACCAATTGTCGATAAAATTTTTATTGCTTCTCGGTCCCTCTAATATTTCAAATTAAAATTATAAATAAATAACTCTATCAAAATTCACGAACTTCGTTTAAATTCATTTTCTTCGATGCTTGACTTTCAGAATGAATTCTTCTACTTCTCCCGTGAAAATTCACGGTATCACCCATGGTATCACCCATGGCGAGTAACGTGCAACCATACCACGAGCATAGTATCGCCCGAACGGATGGTATAATCGCCAGGACGAAAGTCACCGGTCATCCCTTAAGGGATTCAAATTTAACGGCGCGATATTAAGCGAGACCACCCGAGGGGTTCGCTTAGCATAAATTTCGGGGACGGGCGGGCCCCTCTTCCCGAGATTTGTCGAAAGGAATCGCCCGACTTACACGCGCAGCCGCCATCAAAGCGACCGTCCACGAGCCCCGGGAATATATTCCACCCTTGTGCAACAATTAACGACGATGGGAATTTATCACGCGTCGTTTCGATAGCCCCTCGGCCGCGGACAAATTGAAAGGACGTGTAATCGGTGGACAACAAGCCATGAAAAACGCGTTGATTGCCATTTAACGGGCAGACAAGACCCTCCCTTTCGTGAATCAGGTGACTGAATGTTTTAAGCATCGACAAAGAAATGATATTCCAACGGTGAGACGATAGCGAAAATAAATCTGGATAGGACTCGTGAATTTGCCGACGTTCAAAAAATTACATACCACACGAAACGTTAAATTATTTAACCTATGATAGACTCGTAGACAAAATTTTAACTTCGTAGACATTTTTCGTTCTATTTTTAGAAGATGGAAAGATCGATCGGATGTTTCAGGAAAAACAGAACTCGGTTTAGATTCCGCTCACTGGAACACGAGATAAACGGAATACCGGGGCGCAGCTGGTTACAAAACGAAACCGACGAATTATTTCGAGCGGAAAAATACCTTCTTGTTCTCCGAGCTTTCTTCTATAAAATATATATTTTTTTTTTTAGTATCGAGACAATTCCATCACGTGGAACAAAATTGCCCGCGAAGAGATTCCAACGTTACTTTTTCCAAACACGTGGGTCCGGAATTGAAAACGCGAAGCGACCTAAAATTAGCACCCGTTAAACGCAGAAAATCGACGAGATAAATATAGCGTTCGGGCAAGAAATGTTGGCAACGATTCACCGATCGAACAGGTGAAAGGGCGAGGCGTGGATCGTTTCGTGCACTTTAAGATCGACGTTACGAATCGTGAATAGGCGTTTAATCTTATCAGATAGGAACGCAGGGAGTGCACGGACCGTTGCACGACGGGATCGAATACATTATCTTATTTACAGACAGGTAACCGCCGCGGAAAGTTTAACGCTCGATAAAACGCGAACGCATAAATAGGTAGCCGAAATATTTTTTATTCGTGACGCCGTTATCGCCAAGGACTCGTTTCGAGAAATTTCGTTCTCATGTTTTGAATTTTAATTATGCCCAACCTTTGTTGCACACGGACAAAGTGACTATCTAGGAGACGATAGCATTAAATTTCAATAAAGAAATTTTAAAGAAAATTCTTCTTTCCATATCAATTTAGCAAACGATTATAAATAAGTTCATGTTTAAAACAATCGAGATGATATTATAAGAATATTTCAAGCGGGTATATTACAAGGAAATAATTCCGATACAAATTTGAAATTTTTAGGGCTTGTTCTTATTATTGTATAACACCGTCAAATTTCAAATCATTTCGTCAATTTTTACTGGAGTTTTTAAAAAAAAAATGAGCAACCCATTGAAAAAATTCCTTTTATTCTCCATTTAAATTTTTCGAAGAGGCACGTGTCAATGTTAAAATTAAAATGTATGATAGATTTAAAAATCATTGAGGACTACCTTGATACGTATATTAAGCTCATTTCGACAATTTATTTAAACATAATGCGAGCTTCGTGCAGTGGCCAGAGACCTCTGCATGGTACTGTAGAAGTATGATACACGTCGCGGTAAGAAAGTTCTAAATTCCGTGCCATTTTTAGCCAGTTCAACGTCCACGATTTGCACGAGAGAAATTTATACGGCCATTGAAAACGCTTCAGGCCGACGGTGTAACGTATCCTCTGAACTGTGCGAGTAGATCTCTCTTTTTCGGGTGCACGACGCGAGGAAAATGTTGGTTTTATGCGTTTCCGGCGTCGTTAATGCGATCTTTATGGAGGCGTTGGAAGGATGATATTATTACTCGGAGTAACTCTTGCTACGAGGGCGAATTTCTGTAATAATTTTCGATCGGATACAGGATACCCGGAATTAACGAATTAATTTTCAAGTTGAAAATAAAAGGGAAGCGAAACACGTGACTCGAGGGGTTAAAGGTAAATTAAATATTAGGAAGTATGCAGAAATTGTTAGTTTGAAGGATTGAGTGAACACGAAGTGAGATACATATTAAAATTAAAAATAAAGAGAAGGTAAAACTCTTGACCCAAATGGTTAAGGGTAAATTAAATGTTAGGGATCCATGCAAAAATTGTTAGTTTAAGGAATTGAATAAACATGGAGTGAGATATAATATTGAAATTAAAAATAAAAAGGAGGTCAAACTCTTGACCCGAATGATTAAATGAAACATTAAGAACCACGTTAACCCAAAAATTCTTTTTCTCCTCGATTCTCGCTAGAGAATTTATGCTAATAAATTAAGCCACAGGAACACGGCACGAGGATTAGAATCGACCGCATTCTATTTCAATGTCGCGAAAATATGTAGATCGGGCTCGATCGACGAGACCCCAGCGGCAAGCCTGGATCTTTATAAATAGAGCCATTTAAAAGTAACCACAGGGACCGGTTGACAAGGGGGTACCATAAAGAATTTTTTGCTTTATTTATTAAAGATTTTTTCCTCTGCCGATACACTCGTCATAAATCGGATCGAAATCCGAGGCATCGCGTTCCACGCTGAATACATTTCACGGCGTCCCCTTCGGGGGATGGCGCCCGTCCCCCATAAAGAATAATAGACCGTGTCCTGGACGAGCCTAGAAAACACATGGCCGGCACTTGGTCCCAGAGCAGAGCTGGATTCGTGCACCAGAACACGTCCGGTGCAACATCGCGATGCACTCGACCTCCGTAGATCACGGTGCACCGTAACCCCATGGATCCTCTTTGAGCATCCTTGTCAGGGTACAGCCGTTCAGATTACGTGGGACGTTGCCCAGACGCGCACGGAACGGCTCCATTCTCTATATCAGGTCCTATCGAAATCGTTTTGTTTTGTTTCGAAGAAACTCGATGAAATGTTGGAGCAAATACGAGGGTGGTTGTCGAGGAAATTGCAGAGATACAATCTTCGTTCGAAGATTAGTTACAGAAATTTTAAAACGGAGATGATTATAGAGAGATTACAAAAGTACAGATTTTGAACTGGTTTACACCGAGGTTACAAACACGAATGGAATTATTTTTCGGATTCAAAATTATTACAGTAAATTAAAAGTGGAGGTCGTCACAAGTCGCAAAGATACAGATCTTGAGCTTCGTTCGAAGACGATTGCAGAAATTTTACGTCGCTCGAGCTGAGGTTGCGAGCAATGGAATTGTTTTTCGATTTCGGAATTATTACGGTAAATAAAAGGTAGAAATGGTTATAGAGAGATTACAGAAATACAGATTTCGAACTGGATTCTCGATACTGGGTCGTGTAAGAAAAGGAACCGTATCGAATTACTGGAGCAAATTAAAAATGGTGGTAGTCTAAGAGAAATCGTGAATATACAGATTTTGAGCTGGTTCGAACGTAGGTTACGAAGACGAACCGAATTATTTTTCAGGCTCATTTTTAACCAGGGCACACGTCCCCTTTTCCCGTGGCAGATTATTCTGTCAGTCTTTCGACAGCCGGAGAATAAACAAACCATTCCGGGCTTCTGTTTCAGAATGTCACTCATGCCGCGCCACTAGCTGCCACGGGTACCTGTCGTCGAAGATGGCGATCGCCAAATGTCTCATCGTTGGGGTGTTCCTGATCCTGCAGATCGATCGAACTACCCAAGGACAGCTGGTTCGATTAGGTGAGCCATTTGCAATTGGTACAATATGTATTCTATACGTGCGACGCTATTTAATACGAGCTTCATAATTTAATTGGATTTATATGAGGTTCGGTAATTGAATTGAATTTATATGAGGTTCATAATTGAATTGAATTTATA